TGGAGTCCTTAAAGCCCATAAATTCCGAACCATCCTAAACCCCAAAACCCTAAACCCAAAACCTTAAATCCGAAACCCTAAACCCTGAACCCTAAACCCTGAACAATAAACCCTAAACCCTAAACCCCCAAACCCTGAACTTGACAAATCCCCAAGCCGTACTCAAGAAGCTGCCAGCACCCCATTGAAGTCCGAATAAAGCTTCAACGCAGCCCCCAATAAGGTAGTTTTCCAAATTAGGGTCCCTTTTTAGGTCCCCAATATAGTACAGCACTCTTATAAAAAGGGCCCCCAAACGGACCCTAATTTAGAGAACTACTCAATAACGCCTTCATACGGCCCCGAGAAAAGGCCACAAACCCCGAAGTCCCGAAGCCCCGAAGCCTGAAGCCCTTAAGCCCTACATCCGAATCCCTAAACCCTAAAGCCTAAACCCTAAAGCCTAAACCCTAAACCCAACCCCTAAACCCTAAACCCTAAACCCCTAAACCCCTAAACCCTAAACCCTAAACTCCGTGTGGCGCCTTGGGCCCAGAGCCTCTGAGGACACGAAGCCCGGGGAGCTCGCCGACCGGTGGAGTCGCTTCCTCAGGCCAGGCGGGGTTTAGGGGTTTAGGATTTTCCCCCGGGCTTCGTGTCCTCAGAGGCTCTGGGCCCAGGGCGCTTTAGGGAGTTGCGGTAGGTACCCGGTTTGGGGTTTAGGGTTTTAGGGTTTAGGGTTTCGGGTTTAGGGTTTTAGGGGTTTTAGCGTTGAGGGTTCGGGGTTTAGGATTCTTCAGGGGTCTTACGGTTTAGGGTTTTTTGGTGGTTTTAGTTTTTTTTTTTTGGTGGTTTTAGGGGTTTAGGGGTTTTCGGGTTTAGTGGGCTTTAGGGTTTAGGGTTTCTTCTTACATGTATGTTTTTTTGTACTGTGTCTGTTTGATGTTTTGTGTCTTGGTTAGGTTTGGTCCGGTTAGGTTGTGCTTTTCACTTGCTCTTTGTTTTGTGGCTTCTATTTCGCCTAGTTCATTGTTTTTGGTAGTTGCTTGTTTTATGTCTTATGTGTTGGTGAGTTTGTTTGAAGGCCGTGATGGGGTTCGAGTTTCGGGGCTTGCAGGGTTCAGGGTTCTATATAGGGGTCTGAAGAATGGGCAAACACATCCCACCCGGAGTCCTTGCATAATTGTGCTGATACTGTATACTTTAGACCAAGACCTTCTTAAAAGTTACCAAGGGCCATGTACCAGCGAAAGGACTAGGTCTCAGCTCTGCCTCCACCCCTCGAGCCCCACTATGACAGGCCCAGTTTTGATTCTCAAGTACAGGGGGTATATACTAAGGCTTGAGCAGCTTGTTGCTACGACTTTACGGGGGCATAGTCACTAGCATGGTTTCCTTAGTATGATACTTCAGATAAGGGGCTTACCAACCACCCAGCAAGCAACGACAGGATCTCCACGCCGTTTATCACTCGATTCTTCTATTCGGTCCTCAACAACCGCCTGCAGCTTGGCACGCCCCGTCTCCCAGTAGTACCCTTTACCGCTTTTTGCTTTGGTGGGGCTTGGTTGTTACCGCTGAAAAATTGGGAAACGGGCACCTTGATTATGAAGGGGATTCCCGGGAACTTTTTAAACCCCAAGCCCGTCTCATGATGGGATGTTTCCAAAACCCTCCCCTGATTCCTCAGACTGACAGAAAGGTTTCGGGGGCTTTTCGAGTTTTTGGGGTATTTAAGCCCTAAACTCTGAACGCCTAAACCCTCCAAGCCCTAAGCCCGAAACGCCTAAACCCAAACCACCGAAACCCTAAACCTTAAACCCAAAACCCCGAAACCCTAAACCTTACCCTAAACCCTAAACGCCCAAACGCCTAAACCCTAAACCCTAAACCCTCCACCCCTAAACCCCTGAACCCTAAACCCTGAACCCCTAACCCCTAAACCCCTAAACCCCTAAACCCTAAACCCCTGAGCCCCTGAACCCCTAAATCCTAAACCCTTAACCTTAAACCCCAAACCCTAAACCCCCACACCCTAAACCCCTGAACCCTACACCCCTTAACCCTATGTATGAGATGAGAAATACGGCTCCTCATGGGACCCGAACGACTGATATTGGGTCCCCTGATACAATTGAAGTAGTATAGGAGCCTAAGTAGTTACCAATACTATTTTGGGTGGCTCCTTATTATATAACTATATTGCAATATACCGCAAACCCTAGTCCAATTATTAAGGCCCCTACGGTGAGCTCACTGTAACCTAACACCTCACTAAGCCACAACCCTAAAACAGGATGTGGCAACAACCACCAATGTATCTATACGACGACAGACCTGTCCCACCACGCTCCACGAAACCCTAACTGAATCCCAAGATAAATCCTGCAATACATTAAGGACCCCACACTATGGGAGTTATGGTATATTCCTTACCCTGGGTAATGCAGGATTTACATCATCAGCCGTATCCTTACCCTAAGCTCAAAACCCTCATTTTCTAAGCCCCAAACCCTAAACCCTAAACTCTAAACCCCAAACCCGCATTTTCTAAGCCCTAAAGCCTAAAGCCTAAACCCGAAAACCCTAAACCCTAAAACCCTAAAAAACCTAAACTCAAAACCCTCATGTTCTAAACCCACAAAGCCTTCCGCGCTGCTTCGGGTAGCTCGCCGGGCTCGGGGACGCTTGCTGCACCGCCCATGGGAGAAGCTGCTTCGGGTCGCCGGATGCTAGGGTTTAGGGTTTAGGGTTTAGGGTTTAGGGGGCTTAGGGGGTTTAGGGGGTTTAGAGGGTTTAGGGGTTTAGGGTTTAGGGTTTAGGGGTATAGGGTTTAGGGGTTTAGGGTTTAGGGGTTTAGGGTTTAGGGTTTTATAAACACGGGGTTTTGGGTTTAGGGGATTTAGGAAGCCCTTATTCCTATAAGACCCACGTTTAGGGTTCTACAATGGTTAGCAGAAGGGTTGCTGCAACGGGGTCCATAAGGGATCTAACCCCAAGTTTCTACAAGGCTTGCTATTCTGAATCCAAACCCCAAACCCTAAACCTCTAAACCCTAAACCTTAAACCCTAAACCCTAAAAACACTGCATTCTGAAGACTTCTAGCCTACTCCAGCCCCAGAAAGCAGGATTCTACAGGTCTATAGGTACTCTGTGAAGCTTCGTTCGAGGCTGAGAGAGGCACTTAAAGGATCAGGGTTTAGGGTTTTAGGATTTAGGGTTTAGGGTTTAGGGGTTTAGGGTTTAGGGAATGACTTAAAGGATCATGGGACTTAGTAAGTAAGGTTATAAGTCCCTTCACTGGGGTTATAGGTATAGTTACCTTAGTTATAACCCTACTTACTAAGTCCCATGATCCTTTAAGTGAGAGAGGTAACGGCTTCATGCACTACGCACTTTTTGGCTTGGGAATTGGGACGAAGACTCGTGGAGGTTGAGTCCGAGGTGGTTTGGCTCAGGTGCAGGGCTCATGTCCTCGATCATGTTTTTGCTTATCATGGTGTGTTTGGGGTTTAGGGTTTAGGGTTTATTTTTCTATCATGGTGTGCTTCCGATAGAGGGCTATGAGGTCTCTGCTGCTTCACTACAGACATGTCGAATGCCTTGGGCCCTGGCGCCTGCCTGCACCCAAACAACATGCCAACTTGTTCCATCGGCAAAAGCACTCCACTCACCGAGACAATCCAGTCAGTCGGTGGCATGCTACCACTGCAACCCAACACATAACCCAACCCGTCAACCTAAACGGACACATCCTGCATCACGAAAGCTGCTAGATTCTCTATCTTCGATCCGTACAACCCCGGTATGTACCTCTTATGTACCTCTTCTATATGGGTGTTTCCCAAAATAGGGGACCTTAATATAGTACCCCAAATAATAGGATCCTTTCTATAAGAACCCCAAAAAAAGCTACCCCTAATTTTCGGAAACTCTCAACCCTAAACCCTAAACCCTAAACTCTAAACCGCTATATAAACGCCTGAGACCACGACACCTCTTGGCACCTGGAGCCATCCAGTCTCCCCAGCCGCAACTTTGCACCCAGAAGCCCCGAACCCCTTACTAGACCCAGGAGTAACCTAGGAATGAAAAGGGTTCCCTTTTTGGTTTTAAGGGGATTAT